TACTGGACTGTAAATTGTTCTGACTACATTTCATGCCTGATAAAATTCTTACATTTATTGCAGAAAATGTAAGCCCTTGTTCCGTAACTAATCTTTTAAGTTTTCTGAAATAGAGAAGTCTTGAATAGTCTTCCTAGAAAAATGGCATGATTAAAAGTATCATATTATTCTTTGCAAATAGGCTAGTATAATTAAGGATTTTGGTCACAGTAACCTTGGAATGAGTCCTGAGATACGTTTTATAGGATACACACACATGTGTGTACATGTATACTATATCCACTTGAGCCTTGAACAATGCATGGGTTGGGAAACTAACCCCCCCACACACACACAGTTGAAAATCTGTGTATAATTTTTTACTCCCCCAAAACTTAACTATGAATAGCCTACTGCTGTCTGGAAGGCTTACTGATAATATAAACAGTAGGTTAAGACATATTTCGTGTATTATATGTATTGTATGCTGTATTTTTATAATAAAATAGACTGCAGGAAAGATGTAAATCTTTCCTGTTATTAAGTAAATCATAAGCAATAGAAAATGTATTTACTCTAAGTAAAATTGGACTATCATAAAGGTCTTCATCCTCTTTCTCTTCACATTGAGTAGATTGAGGAGGCAGAGGAAGAGGGGGGCTGGTCTTGCTGTCTCAGGGATGGCAGAGGCAGAAGAGTTGGGGGAGGTGGAAGGGGAAACAGGCATACTTATATAACTTTGATGGGAAGATGTCCATGTGTAAGTGCATCTGCATAATTCAAATCTGTGCTCTTCAATGGTGAACTGTATTTTAATATAATATTATAAATCAATGTGTGTTTGTACATATCTACTAACATCTCTGTAGATGTCTAGATTTCAAGAGATGTAAATACATTAGTTTAAGTTCCAATGGCAGTATAATTGTAGCTATTGTGTAACACTGAAGAATGATGACTTACAGGCTGAAATATACCATCATTGCCTATGTCTACTGCATACACAAAAATGTTTTGAAAAATTGTTTCAACTCTTCCTTTTGAGAGGGAGAAAAATATAATGGAAAGGTTATGAATTTCAGAGTCAGACATATCTGTTCTCAACTCTCTGCTCCATATCTTCCAAATTTTGTAAATCTTGATTTAGGTAAATTTTCCTGTGAAACAAACTCTGAAGCAGAGGTTTTCAGGCATGAAATTTATTGGGAAGTTACTTGGGATCAATGTATTTATAGGTGTCCCAAGCTGAGGAAAGGGAGTCTAGTCTTTGTAGTACATTATTAATCAATCATTAGCATGAGCTGCCTGTGAATAACCTGTCTTGGTCAAGGCAGTTCCCTTGGGTGGAAGGTGGAAAATTCCCAGAGAAGGACTCAGCTGTGGGCTACCAGCAGCCAGCACTTCAGGCAGCTAGGGGAGTGAGTCTTTGTCATGAAGGGAGTGATGCCATTTGGCATCTACTTGGCACTACTTGCATTGTATGATATATTTATCCCATCCGAGAACAGCTCCTCCAGAATCTGAATAGGTCACCATTTTTAGGAAACCTCTTAGAAGAAGATTAATGGGGAGCCATGGCCCCTGCTGTTCAAGCTCACAACAGATACTTATTATCTCTCCCCTCCCTTCCCTTCCCTTCCCTCCCCTTCCCTTCCCTTCCCTCCCCTCCCCTCCCCTCCCCTCCTTTCTCCTACCCATTCTAAAATTCTCCCATCCTCAGCCAGTACCCCCATGGACATATGTGGCCTGCCTTGTGGGGTAACACAGACTATTACTGAGGGATCTGAACCCCTCCTCAACATTTTATTTTTAGGCTGCTACACTTGTCCATTTATTACAAAAAAAGAAAAAAGGAGCAAGGAAATTTTACAAAATGCATAGTGTATCACCTGCTTGCCAGATATTCTTTTCTGCCCTTATTGTATAATAGCAGCCATATCAGATCCTGATGAGGAGACAGTTATCTCGGTAAAGAGAATGACCCTTCTCTTTGCTGCCAATCTCTTGGCACAGGAGCCCAAAGTAATTTGGTGTAGGATATGCTTGAAGCTTAATGAAATTCCTACTGTGTCCCCTCTCAGAGGCAGTGTCCCCTCTCGGAAGCAACCTCCCTCTCAAAACCAGGATCTCTAGACCCACAGAGCCTAAACTTTTGTGAACAGGAAATGCAAATTTCTCCATTTAAGACTGTGGGAGTGATGCTAAGTTCAACCACTTCTATATTTTCCACTTTGTTCCTAGATCTGTGTATTCAACCTGTTGGGGATGCAGTATCAAAGAATGGTCATTGATTTAGAGTATTTACCACATCGTTTAGGATTCGAAAGGCTGGTCCATCACTCATCAGACCAGCACCTTCTGCGGCATGCAGTGCATACCAGGACAAAGTGGGTCTCATGATTATGTACCCACTGTTCTACCTCAGTCCAAAGTAGTCCCATTGGCCTGGATGATATTATGCAGTATCATGTGTTCACATTTCAGACACTCTGTAGGCCCTCAGATCTTGGTGCTAAACAAGGCCCTGCAGGCATGTAACGCAAACCCTTATTTGGAATTGGCTCAGTTCTAGTCAAAATGAGTTACTGTTCCTTCTAAGGTGGAAGATGTGATAATCAGCTTACTACTGAGTGGCAGTCTGAACCCGGGGAATAATACTGAATTAAGACCCAGCATCTACCTCCATTGCTATTAGGTTGAACAGCTCATCTACATTTTCAGGTGTGGAAAATCAGAAACGGATAATTGAGTGGCCCCATTGGAGCAGATGGATGCTGCCGAAGGAGTGGAAAGAAGCTTGGTGTGTGTGTGTGTGTGTGTTAAGGGGTATGTGTGCAATAAGGGGTTGGAATATCTTGGGTGGGGGGTTAGAAATATAACAAAGTTCAGAAAGGGTCCAAGAATAGGTACTGGGAGTTCTTAAGCTGTACAAGAGGGTAGTCCTCTAAAAACTCACTAATTTATACACTTTGTCCTTATCTTTTTAATTTCCTGTTTTTGTTTGCCTTCGGTTTCTGAGTTTCTTTTCAATCTTACTTAACTTTTGGTCAAGATGGGTCAGTTTGTCAAATTAAAAGAACACAGGCTAACTTGGTTAATTTGGGAAAATAAATGACTTTTGTGAGACTCAATTTTCTCATTTGTAGAAGTGGAGTAAAATGGCTATTATAGAATTTTAAAACCTGCTTATAAAGTGCTTATACATGGTGGATGATCAAGAGTTGCCTATCAATATTGAAACACTCCTAAACAGTTACTGCTGAGCTAAGGAGGAATGGATAGGGGCTCTGGTTGTACAGATCTGGCAAGCTAGAAGACAGGCAGGCAGCTGAAATGAGTTACTGGAGGTCTGCTTCCCATTTGATCTAGGGACCCATCTAATAAGCTGTTTCAGTGATTCGCCTTGCATTTTGCTCGGTTTTTGCTTTCATTTTAAAATAGTATAATTTTTACATTTATTTTTGGATGTCCTTCTTTCTAGGTTGTTACATTTTTAAAAATTTGTTTTCTGCTTATAAAAAAATACTATAAACACTTAAAGCGTAATATTCGTGTATCATGGAGGAAAAAAGTTCCATCTTCAACCTCTTATTAAAAGGTTACTTTAAGTGTCTGACAGCTATTCCTTTAGATTTCTTTCTATGCACAATTGGATATGATATTTTATATATAATATATATATACACATATTTTTAACAAAAGTAAAATCATGTTATGTATATTGATGTATCAAATACTCCATAGGCCTTCAGATTGTGGTGCCGAACAAAGGCCTTAAGTACTTTGTCTATAAAATTGGGACAATACTACTATCTGCCTCATGAGGTTGTTGTGCGGGTTAAAGGAAAAACCTTTGTAATTCACATAGCCTGTAACATGCATCTATGTCATACACATATAAGCCTGGTTGTGTCATGCCTGCCACAGTAAATATTAGCTATTATCATTATGCTTGTCTGCATCCATATCTTCTTCTTCTTTTTTTTTTTTTTTTTTTTTTTTGAGATGGAGTTTTGCTCTTATTTCCCAGAATGGAGTGCAGTGGCCTGATCTCGGCTCACTGCAACCTCTGTCTGCCAGCAATTATCCTGCCTCAGCCTCCCCAGTAGCTGGGACTACAGGCGTGCACCACCATGCCTGGCTAATTTTTGTATATTTAGTAAAGATAGGGTTTCGCCATGTTGACCAGGCTGGTCTTGAACTCCTGACCTCAGGTGATGTACCTGCCTCAGCCTCCCAAAGTGCTCGGATTACAGGTGTGAGCCACTGCGCCCAGCCTGAATCCATATCTTAAATCCCAACAGGATGTTTTATGTTAGTGTTTTTCTCTTACCTCCTCATTCCTCAAAGAGAACAATGAGTAAAAAAAAATCAGTTGGGTAAATACAGCATTATCATAATTACAATTTCCCTGAGAAAAGTGGCTTGCAGTTTGAATATTCAGCATCATAATTACAATTTCCATAAGGAATGTAGAACAGTTATTTTAAACAACAGAATAATCACTTGGTCCATAAGGGAGAACAGATTATTAGGGGAGTGAGGAGAGAGAAGAAGCAAAATCACGTGTTCTAATCAGCATTCAAGAGTAGAAATATAGAACCTGAGAATAAATTGTAATAGCACCTTAAAATACTCTTGCCTGAATTTATCAAAAATCTTACCATGATGGCTTCCATGGGATAAGTGCTACCTATATATTTTTTCTTTCATACAATTTAATTATGTTTATTAAACATCCCCTCTGCATTTTCACTCACTGTCATTCATTATTTCTATACCCATAAGAAATTTTAAAAAGCAAATTATGACAAAATTTAAAAAGTAAAAATATATTAACAACTAGGAGAAAAAGAGTTTTATCAGGTTTTTTTCTCTCTGTAGTTAAATGCTTCTTTCCTGTCCACAAGAAAACTGGGTAAAAGTTAAAAGAAAAAAAGAAAATGTCTTTTTGACTTCTTGTGTTACTTTAATTGGCTTTTATTTCAATTTCCTTTTTTTGTATGTTTTCTATTTTTTAGGTGAAGTGAGAAAAACAGAATGCAGCTTTCAAGGTTGGTACATTTTATAATTTGTATTGTAAATTGACAATTTGTAATTGTATAAATCTATGGGGTGAAAACTAATGTTATAGTTTATGACTCCAATGTGGAATAATTAAATCAAGCTAGTTAACATATCCATTAATTTAAATTTTTAACATTTTTTGTGGTGAGAAGATTTGAAATTTACCCTCATAGCAATTTTCAAATGTAAAATACTCTATAATTAGTTAGATTTACCATGCTGTGCAATAGAACTAACAACAACAAAAAAAGCCTATTCTTTCTAACTGAAATTTTGTGCCCTTTGACTATCATCACTCCATTCTCTCCAACAGCTAGCCTCTATAACCAGCATTCTATTCTCTATTTCTGTGACTTCAGTTATTCTAGAGTCTACCTATAAGTTAGAAGGTGCGGTGCTGACTTTAGTGCCTGATTTATTTCACTTTGCATAATGTTCTCTTGTTCTATCCATGTTGTCACAAATGACAGAATTTAACATATATGTTAGTATGAAACAATATGAAAGTAGCAGAGCAAACTATATCCTTAGCTTTGCACTAACAGCTATTAGAAAACATGTTTTTATTCTCTTCACTCATGGACAGAAAAGTACAACATAGACTTAAGTGAATTTAATATAGCAATTATAATAGCTGATTCAATCTGTAGCAAAATTGTGAAGTTGAAAATACATAACATTTTCATATTAACATTTATTATTAATAATTATTCACTTGATCCATCTATCCATCATTCAATTCATCTACTATTCATGTATTTTTATCAGTGAATCCTTATTACATATTGTGTGCAAGCTCCTATCATCTAATTCCTTTCTGCATACATTGTTTGACTGACCTTCAGCAGATTCTCAAACCTATCCCTTGCTCCAGCACTTTCTGCTTATTGCTAACAATAAACCTTCACCTATTATAACAGGTATTCGATTTTAACTTGCTGTATCTGATAAATGAGCAGTGTTTCCCCAACATCCCTCAGCTTATGTGTATGCCAGTATGTCTACTTCCAAATAATTGGGGCAAACAGGAAATCATCGGGGCGATAACTACCAAGTATATTGTAATTCAAGTAAATCTGGAGAGTACAAAAAAGTCCTAATCTGGCCTCTGAAATAGAACACTCAGAACTGAATTTATATATGAGCACCCTTGGATAAAGGTATAGTATAGCTCTGCAGTGACAAGGTACTATGGCCTGAATGTTTTTGTCCTCTCAAAATTACTCTGCTGAAGTCCTTCACTTGATCTTAGCCAATAGGCCAAGAACCGATACTCTGCTGAAGTCCTAACCCCCAAGGTGACGGTCTTAGGCAGTGAGGCCTTTTGGGAAATGATTGGGTTCATGAATCATGAATGGGATTAGTGCCCTTATAAAAGAGGCCCAAGGGAGTTACCCTGCCCCTCTCAGCATGTGAGGACACAGAAAGTGCTGTCTCTAAGGAAGTAGGCTTTCACCATACAGTACTCCTGCCTGTGCCTTGATCTTGGACTTCCCAGACTCCAGAACAATGAGACATACATTTCTGTTGTTTAAACGCACTCAGTTGATAGTTATTTTGTTATGGTAGATAGAACAAACTAAAACACAAGTGTTCTCATTATAAAAGTTTGAAACATCAATGGGTTGACATGGAACTATCATCTCCACACTGGTCATAGATAAATGGTAAAAATTATCTGCAATGTCCTTATGGAGAAATTAAAAAAGGAAAATAATTCTTGATAACTGCAGACCCATCTCCAGTAAATATTTAAATATTTGAGTGAAGGGGCCCAAATTTGAACCTGCCTATGAAACCTAGTCTATCCCTACAATATCCCATGGTCATGCTTCCATTTATATACACTATGTAGATGCTTCTGATGGCTTACATTAGCCACTGTAGGTAAACTCATGCCCTTCTTATAAAAGGGAAGCCCAATAACAGATTTTTAAGTTGAAAAATGCTTCAACTATTATTCATTTTAATCATTTTTTGTCTTCATATAGTAAAATCCAGGCCTGTAGAGGTTAAATATGTAAACTGTTCTAAATCAGAGTTCACTAATGACCAAATAGGGACCACAATCACATTGTTTACCATCTTAACACAGGGCATCGCACAGTGGTTGTTATGGAGAATAGGAAAGTCTTTCATTTGGAATGGAAACCATTTCTGTAACAACACATTTCATACCAATCTGTTGCCTAAAATTGTTTACGTCCTCTATTTTTAAGCATTTCTCAAGAACCCTTTTACTTCCCTGACTATATCATGATCTCCCTGAAGGTAAAGCTCATGGCTATCATTTCTCTGTATTTTTACCATATTTATAAATTTTAGGTAAATGTTGTGTGGTTCATTAACCTTATTAATAACACTGAACCTCTGCCTCTATTCCAACTCAGTGAATTCCACTGATACTCTTTGTAGAAGATCTAGAAAAAAAAATTCACTGAAGGAAACCAGAAACCAAATAAAGATGGCTGGGTTTTGTTTTTGTTTTTGCATGTGTGTATATTTTGGAATGTGTGTGAGGAGGAGGTGGTCAAAAGAAATCACTTAAATTTATCTGAGACTATGTGGGTTTAATGAGTTGCAGGGTAAATCATTAGAGTGGCTGAAGAGAATAGAGAATGCCTACTGAAAATGTGAATGTATGTTTGGATAGATAGAGAGGATCCAGAGGCTAAACATTAGAATAAATAGACTCAATTTTTAAATACAGAAGAAAGGTTAGGAATAAGAAAACTAATTTCCTTTTTATTATAGATCTCAGATCTAATTTCCTTTTGTCCTTCCTGTATATTTGAAAATAGGATGTAGCTCTTCTTTCCATGTGAGAGCTGTTTAATATTTTCACACTGAAAGTGTTGCATTTAGATTTGAGCACCACACATTTAGAAGTCTATAAATAACCTATTTTGCCCTTCAAAATATACATAATGTCAGTCAAAGAAGCAGAGATTATACAACGATTATTAATTAAAGAGGAATACCAATATTCACTTTACTCTTTCAAAGATCATTAAAGGTGATCAAATTTATAACTCACAGCAACTCTTTTCACAAATCCTTTTCTTCACCTGTCAAATCTTTCACAGTGCAATGTCTCAAATCTTCATCAAAACCTTACTTAAGCCCTAGTTCTTGCCACTTTTGTTACATATGTAGCTCTCTCTCCTTTCTTCCAGCATTTTATTATGTAGTTCAACCTAGTCTGTCTTACTAAAACCTTCCCTCTTACTCACCTACCTCTCTGATTTTGTCTTTCTAGATTTTCCTATGAAAGAGGAAGAGATAAGGATTAATAGGCAGATTATGGAAACGCTGAGTGTACCCAAATGTCAGTGAATCTTGTTTCAGCCATGTATATTCTATAGCATAGTGATGGACTCAAAACTGTAAGCAGTGGCAGCACGCGTAGCTGATACAGCAATGGATTCACTTGTAATTAAACATGGTGTGAGCTTTTATCTCTACTCCCTCCCCAAAAGTAACTAAAATAAGAATAAAGGATAAATAATGCATAATCCCCCAAGGACAAAGTAATCAAGAAAGGTGACAGACAATACCAGACTAAAAATGGCAAACACATTTTCAAAAATTTTAAGTGGATGGACAAAGATAGTCATAGTAGCATGACAGAAGGTTGTAACTGAAGCAATCAGAAAAGTAATAATAATGAAAAGGAGTCTGAGCTGCTGATCTCCAGGAATGCCCAGAAATTAGACATATTAAAGGCAGGGATTAAGGAAGTGACTGAAAACATTAAAATGGGAGTTGAAAGTTTGTAAATGGAAGAATTGGGCTCCCAGATTCTTTGCCATATCGTGAAGCCAGGCAACTACCCCGGCTTCATTTTGTCAAAGACTTGAGATATACGTTGTGAATACTGTAATTCAACTGGGGAAGTACTGGTCTTGAAAATACTAAGATCAGTTTAGGACAGAAAGAAGGCACTCTAGTGAAAACAGGATTTAATTAAAGTACACAAAAGTAAGATGATTAAATGAAAGTATGCTTATGAAAAACCGAGACCCTCAATACATCTCTCTGACTTCGCTCTCAGAACTCTGGAAGCCAAGCAGGAAAACAAAGCATTCCTCTCTGGAGACTAAAGAACTCAAAAGATTTGCATTTCTCTGATGGCCAGTGATGACGAGCATTTTTTCATGTGCCTGTTGGCTGTATGCATGTCTTCTTTTGAGAAATGTCTATTCATATCCTTTGCCCACTTGTTGATGGGGTTGTTTTTTTCTTGTAAATTTGTTTCAGTTCTTTATAGATTCTGGATATTAGCCCTGTGTCAGATGAGTAGAATGCAAAAATTCTCCCATTCTGTAGGTTGCCTGTTCACTCTGATGGTAGTTTCTTTTGCTGTGCAGAAGCTCTTTAGTTTAATTAGATCCCATTTGTCAATTATGGCTTTTGTTGCCGTTGCTTTTGGTGTTTTAGACATGAAGTCCTTGCCCATGCCTATGTCCTGAATGGTATTACCTAGGTTTGCTTCTAGGGTTTTTATGGTTTTAGGTCTAACATTTAAGTCTCTAATCCATCTTGAATTAATTTTCGTATAAGGAGTAAGGAAAGGATCCAGTTTCAGCTTTCTACTTATGGCTAGCCAATTTTCCCAGCACCATTTATTAAATAGGAAATCCTTTCCCCATTTCTTGTTTTTGTCAGATTTGTCAAAGATCAGATGGCTGTAGATGTGTGGTATTATTTCTGAGTGCTCTGTTCTGTTCCATTGGTCTATATCTCTGTTTTGGTACCAGTACCATGCTCTTTTGGTTACTGTAGCCTTGTAGTATAGTTTGAAATCAGGTAGTGTGATGCTTCCAGCTTTGTTCTTTTGACTTAGGATTGTCTTGGCAATGCGGGGTCTTTTTGAGATACCATCTCACACCAGTTAGAATGGCAATCATTTAAAAATCAGGAAACAACAGGTGCTGGAGAGGATGTGGAGAAATAGGAACACTTTTACACTGTTGGTGGGACTGTA